CACACTTCTCCTCATTCTCTTCCATCTCTTCCTCCGAGCCTCCTCCACCACCTCTTCCTCTTTTTTCTGCTCCCTGTCCTCGTCCTCCTCCTTCTCCTCCTTCTCCTCCTCCTTTTGGAACGTCGCCGAAGGCGCGCTGCAGTATATCCGCTACCCCAGCCTCGCGATACTCAGATCGCATAAGAGGCTGGGGACTGTAGGTTTCGCTTCTTTTGAGAGGCGCGTCGGGAGCCGAGGGGGTGACACGACCGGCATTGAACAAGAGGGGGCCAGCGGCAGCAGGTTCGAGAGAGCGGCGGCAAGGGTGACAGAGACCAAGACGGGAGACATAATAATCGAGAAACGGGATGGGCTGGATGATCAGGGCACCGGCATGCTGGAAGACGGGGCACCACGCCCAGCAGTGAACAAACGCGTCTGGGCCGCCGCAGCCCATCATGCATCCACGGTGTGAGCTGCCACGCAGCCTCATAGAAATGATCCATGATTTTGAAATTGTCTCGAGAACGGTGGTGCTGAAAGCTGTGGGCACAGACTCTAAACAGGTTCGAACGTCGCTCCAGGTGATTTCCGAAATTTCGCCAGCACAATCAGGGAACCAGGAACGAAACCGAACCGAAAACGTCCCAGGGAGAAGGGCAGTGAAAAGCATCAACCGCAAGTTTTCTGATATCACCTTCTGGAGCTTTAGCTTGGGTCCTGGTCGGGTGCAACTTCCTGTTCATCCTGCTCCTGGGCTTGCTCATCACGTACTTCTGCCGCTAAAGGGAGCCAGCATCCCCCTCCGCTGCTGGCTCCGGACCTCGGTTCTCACCCGAGGATGTGGAGGTGATGACGTGGATGTCAAAAAAAAAGCCTGGGTTCGCTGTCTCCTCTCGGCGGCGGAGTCAGAGCCGCGACCGCCAGACTGACAGACGAGCGGCCACCAGCAGCACGAGAGGGATTTACCGGGGAAGCCTTGCGCAGCTCGATACAAGCTCTCTCGACTCGCGGGGGCGTCTGCCACCGGGCTGGGGAAAAAGTCGGGCGGAAGCAATCCATTGCAGACCGAGGTGGTTCTGGGCAGCTCTCGAGAGAACGCGATGCAGGCCCCGCCCGCGCGGGAGGCGCGCGGAGAGTGGCCCGCGCGGGAGCGGCTAGAGAGACCGCGGGGATGCTGGGCACGCGAGGACCGCCCCAAGAGTGGATGGTGAAGCTGCTCGCGCGCGGGAAGGAGCAGTGATGGGGCGCCAGACGGAGAAGCGAGGAGAGCGTTCTCAGCCGCGGGGAGGCGGACCCAAGGGTCATGGATGGGGAGCGGCATGAACTGGGAAATGTAGCTGAGAGTTGGCACTGCGCGCTTGCTGCACGGATGCTGAGAGACAGCCGGGGGGGGGGGCAAGCCCCGGCGACGTCGCAGACGCGCCCATGCCGCTGGAGTGAAGGCCCCGCAGAGAGGGACAATGAAACATTTGGAGACTTTCAGCGTGACACCTGCGATCCTCATACGGCAGGTTCGTGTCGTGCCGACCCCAGCGTTGGTTTTTGACACCGCAGGGATCGTTCAACCTTGAACGATCGGCCGCTGCCGCAACGTCCGATCGTTCAACATCGATCGATTCTGGGTCGCCGGCGGCGTTCAACCTTGAACGCCCGCGCTGGGGTCGCCGCTGGTCGACACGACGCAAACCTACCGTATCGAAAAGTCTCTTCGGTCGGCGGAGCTCCTCTAGCGCCCGGAGGGCGGCGCCAACGTCGTCCGCGCATGCCCTGGCCCGCCCGCGGGCCCTCGCGCTCGGGGCCAGGGCAATGTCGGAGGAGAACGGGCGGGAATCGATCGAGCAGATCATGCCCAGTGCCGGCCACCCCTGGACGATGCCACTCCGCTGGGGAAGGCGAAGGACATCTCGTTGCCCACGCGCACGCAGCAACGCACATTCATGCAGAGACAGGCAGGGTAGCCAAGAGGAGCTCGGGGGGCGGGCAAACGCCGCAGAGGCGGCATCGGCCATTCGCGCGCGATCGAAGGGAAGGCCCAGCCGCGATCGAAACTCATGGGCACTGGCTTTCGAGAGATGGCTGCGTCAGAGTCGAACGTCCGCGAGCTGTGCACTCGGGAATCCGCGCCAAATTCTAGGACGTTGGCGCCGAAGCTTCTCCCAGAGATGAACCCGCGTGTGCTGCTCTCGTTAAACTCGTTCTGGGATTTGCTCGGGCTCTGCAGACTATTCCAGTCAACATTTGTGTCATGCGTATGTTTGGGTCGTTCGAAGTCGGCATGTTCCTGCGGGGCCACGACCGCCATGGCAGCGCAACAGCGAGGCGCCAGAGAGGCCTGAGAGACAGACCCGTCGGAATCGGGAAAAGGCGGTGGGCAAAATGCCCGAGGCGTAGCGCCCAGGCGCCCCTTCGAGGCTTTGTCGCACGGCGGCGGAAACCTGCAAGCTCGGAGCCCCGCGACAAGGATTACGAACTCGAGCCAAAATGGCTACGGACCTCCTCCTCCTCCTTCTCCTCCTCCTCCTCCTCCTCCTGCGCCTCCTCCTCCTCCTCCTCCTCCTCCTCCTCCTCCTCCTCTTCCTCCTCCTCCTCCCACTCCCCTCTCTGAGAATGCCCATTTAAGACAACGTCGGCTGTCCCGCCCAGCCCAGATCCGGTCAAAGACGAAGACCCCTCCCAGGCGTCCGTCCTGACCTGTCCTTCGAGGCGGACCCAGCCGCCGCGACGGCAAAGCCTCCAGGAGGCCCGAGCAGGAGACGAACCACGCCCGTGAGGGCCGCCGTGGACTGGACTGGCCCTCCTCCTCCTCCTCCCTCCTCCTCCTCCTCCTCCTCCTCCTCCTCCTCCTCCTACCTCCTCCTGTTCCTCCTTTCCTTCCTCCTCCTCCTCCTCCTCCTCCTGTTCCTCCTCCTGTTCCTCCTCCTGTTCCTCCTCCTCCTCCTCCTCTTCCTCCTCCTCCTCCTCCTCTCCCTCTTCCTCCTCCTCCTCCTCCTCCTCCTCCTCCTCGCCCCTGCCTCCGCCCGAGGCCCCCGAGCTGCCATGCTGGGAGCTGCTGGCCTGGTCGAGGCCGAGGGAGCGCCCCTGTGCAAACGACGCGGAGGAGGCCGAGGCCAAGAGCGGCAGAGCCTCCGATGCGGAGGCAGACTGGGGCTGGGCATGCCCGAACTCGGTTTCGGGCCGCAGTCCTGCCTGCCTGCCGCTTCTCCCTCCTCCTCCTCCATCCTCCCTTTTTTAGAGCTCCGACATCGCGCTTTGTTTCGCACCGTGGGCGCCAGAGATCTGCGCCCCTTCCCGGGGACCAGATTCTCATCCAGAGTCGCTGTTTGAAGGCCCCTTGGCGAAGCGAGGGCTCCCGGGCACCGAGCAGAGCCCAAAACCACCCGTCGTGCGTTTGTCACGACGAGAACATGTCTGGGTCGTCTCTCTCCTCCTCCTCCCCTCCTCCTCCTCCTCCACCACCTCCTCCTCCTCCTCCTCCTCCTCCTCCTCCTCCTCCTCCACCTCCTCCTCCCCCCTCTGCTCCCCCAACTGCTGCTGCTCCTGCTGCTGTTGCTCCTCCTCCTCCTCTCCTCCTCCTCCTCCTCCTCCTCTCCTCCCTCCACCTCGTCCTCCTCCTCCTCCCTCCTCCTCCCTCTCTCCCTCACTCCCTCCCTCTCTGCTCCCTCCCTCCCCCTTCTTCCTTCGCTCATTCAACGTCTCCTTCCTCATATTCATCCTCCCTCCCTTCTTCTCGTCCTCCTCCCCCTCCCTCCTCCCCCCTCCTCCTCGCCACTCCCTCCTCCCTCCTCCTCCTCCTCCTCCTCCTCCTCCTCCTCCTCATCATCATCATCATCATCATCATCCTCATCCCTCCCTCCCTCCCTCCCTCCCTCCCTCCCTCCCTCCCTTCCTCCTTCCTCCCTCACTCCCTCCTCCTCCATCCCCGAAGCCCGGCGTCTTGATTGTTTGAAAATGCGGTCCCAGGAGGTCTCGACCCTTTCCCCAGGGTCAGTTGTTCATGCTGAATCATTGTTTGACGATCCCGGAGCCTGGCGAAGGCCTTCAGAGGCCAAAAACTACCCAAAACCTCCGTCTTGAGTTTTACCCGTACTTTGAGTCTCAGGGTCTTCCCCCCTGTTTCTCCCTCCGCCCCTCCCCGACTACTACAAGGCACGCCTACGGGCCCTCCTTGCCTGAACGCACCCGCGTGCCCCAAGGGCAGCGGCTATGGGCGCTACCAGCAGGGCCCCTCTGGCTGCGCAGGCCCGCTGGGCCTACAGGTCGGAGACGCTCGCAGAAGCGAGGAGCGCCGCGCAGGCGCGGCAGCCTACTCGGCTACACGCAAGAGCGACCCTGGGCAGGAGTGGCCTCTGGCGCGCGGCTTCACAAGGGGGGCGCGGGGGGTGGCCAGACCTGGGAGCGCAAGCCGCTGATGCTGCCGCGTCGCGTTCGGCGATGGGGGGGCCCCACTGGGCGTGCCTCAGAGGTCACCCGGTCGAAAGGCCACTCTTACGTGTCCTCCACTTCTAATCGCGCTCATGTCTGATTGCGCTCGCTTCTGATTGCTCCTGGCCCCCTGGTGGCCAGGAAGAGGCCCAGGCAGGGCAGAACAATTAGAAGTGATAAGACCTTGGCCCCCTAAAAAATCAAAGAACTCTCGAATAATTAGACATGAACCGTGTGTACGTGCAGTCCACCTGCCAATCGGGTCCTCCCCCCCTCTCCCTCCCCCTCCCCCTCGTCATCCTCCCCCTCCTCATCCTCCCCCTCCTCATCCTCCCCCTCCTCCTCCCCCTCCTCCTTCCTCCTCCTCCTCCTCCTCCTCCTCCTCCTCCTCCTCCTCCTCCTCCTCCTCTCCTCCTCCTCCTCCTCTCCCCTCCTCCTCCTCCTCCCCTCCTCCTCCCCTCCTCCTCCTCCCCTCCCCTCCTCCTCCTCCTCCCCCCTCCTCCTCCCTCCCTCCTCCTCCTCCTCCTCCTCCTCCTCCTCCCCCTCCTCCTCCTCCTCCTCCTCCTCCCCTTCCTTCGCGCGGAGGGCCCCCGCTCCTCGCCGCGGGCCAGCGGCAGCCCCTGCAGCCTCTCCCGGCCTCTGGCGCGGTCCTGGGCGGGGCGGGCGGTCCCGGGGAGGTCGTCGCCGCCAGGGCACTCGCCGAAGGAAGCAGGCCTGCTCTTCCTCGCACTCTTCTTGTTCTTCTTCTTGTTAGTATTGTTAAGATTATTATTATTCTTATTATTATTCTTATTATTATTCGTCTTCTTCTTCTTATTATTATGATTATTATTATTATGGTTATGTTTGGTAGTGTTGTTGTTAGTATTAGCATTAGTATTACTATTATTATTAGTATTAATATTATTATTGCTACTACTACTATTAGTATTAATTTTATGATTAGTGTTACTATCATCATTATTAGTATTACTATTACTGTTGTAATATTATTATTATTATTAGTATTATTATTATTAGTATTATTCGTATTATTATTACTATTATTAGTATGAGAATTATTATTAGTACTATTATTATTATTACTACTACTACTACTACTACTATTATAATATCAATTATTGCTATTATTATTATTATTAAAATTATTAATATTATGATTCTTAGTATTAATATTATTATGTTTCTTCTCCCTCCTCCTCCTCCTCCTCCTCCTCCTCCTCCTCCTCCTCCTTCTCCTCGTCCTCCACTTCGAATCCCTTGTCCTTTCCAGAGAACTCCTCCCTGTCGCACCCAGAATCCGCTCGAAAGCGCTGGCCGGGCGTTTCGCCTGAGACCTCCTCACCATTGAAGAATTGACAACACCTCCACAAATGGAGGGCGGGTGGCTCTAGCCTTAGCGCCGCGCGCATTCGCTTGCATAAACGAGCGTGTTCTACCGTTGCTGGCCGAAAATTGGGGGGTGATCGCTGGGGGGGCTCCAACCCGTTCCCCCCCCCCACCTCTCGAAAACCGGGGGAAGTCACTGGGGGTTCCAACCCCCCTCCCCCCCCTCCCCCGGTCCATCATGGGGTGGTCACTACCGGTTGGAATCCCTCCCCCCCCCCTCCTGGAAAACCAGGGGGGGGGCCACTACAGGTTCGAACCCCCCCCCTCCCCCCTCGCCGCAACGACTCCCCCTCTTCTCTCACTCCGGATGGGGGACTGGTCGGTACAGGGTTGGGACGGGGGCGGGGATGGTGGTGGGGAGTTGGGACGGTGGGGAAAGTGGGACCGTGGTGGGGGCAGTGGTGGGAACAGTGGGGGCAGTGCGACGGTGGTAGGGGCACTGGCGGGGACAGTGGGGACAGTAGTAGGGACACTGGGGTCAGTGGTGGGGACAGTTGGAGAGTGGTGGGGACGGTGGCGATGGGGACAGCAGTGGAATGGTGCAGTGGGGAGAGTGGTGGGGACAGTGGGGACAATGGGACAGCGGTGGGGGCAGTGTGGACCGTGAGGCAGCACAGTGGGACAGCAGTGGGGGCAGTGTGACCGTGGTGGGAACAGCGGGACAGCTCAGTGGGACAGCGGCGGGGATAGTGGGGACAGTGGTGGGGACAGTGGTGGGGACAGTGGTGGGGACAGTGGGGAGAGTGGGACCGTGGTGGGCACAGTGGCGGAGACAGTGGGGACAGTGCGACGGTGGTGGGGGCATCGGTGGGGACATTGGGGAAATTGATGGGAACAGTGGGACAGTGGTGGGGACAGTGGTGGTGGGGACAGTGGTGAGGGCGGTGGTGAGGACGGCGGTGGTGGGGACCCGGGAACCTTCTGCAGGCGGCGAGGGGGGGGGTTCGAACCAGTAGTGACCACCCCCCCGTTTTCTGGAGGGGAGGGGGGGAGGGGGTTCGAACCGATGGTGACCCCTCAAGGATTTCCGGAGAAGGGGACGGGGGGTTGGGGCGGGGGTTGCCAGGAGAAGGGGGGGGGGGGGTCGAGCAGGGGGGGCGGATTTTGGAGGGGGGGGGACCCCCGGGTTCCGGAGGAAGAAAGGGGGGAATTTTCCAAAGTACAGCGGCGGTGGATCACGCTCTCTCAATCATGAAAAATAACATATGCTAAAAATTCACGGGTTCACGGCGGGGCGTTTTCAAATGTGGCTATCGCCTTAATCCAGAAGCCCTTGTAATGAGGACGAGAGGTCGTTTCAAAGCAGTCCCCTGGGACTGCTTTGAACGCTGCAAGGCGGTCTTCAAAGCAGTCCCCTGGGACTGCTTTGAACGCTTACCTCGCAAGGCGACATGAGGGGCAGCAGCTGCAGGATGATGATGGTGATGGCGATCGATGAGGAAGATGGCGATGACGTCAATGATGATTTGCCAACTTGTCTCGACGAAGCGCTGTCCGCAACTGCGGCCACAAACCTTCTGCTGCACTTGCCCGCAACTGCGGCCGCAAACCTTCTGCTGCACTTGCCCGCAACTGCGGCCATTACCAACGTGTCGTTTCGTAGGTCCAGGGAGCGCGGTCGTTCCACGGCCCCGCGTGGCCCGCGTTCTGCGTCTGGTCGGGCATGCCCGCCCACTTGCGATTAGGAGGCGAACCCTCCGTGGCATTGTCCGCAACTGCGGCGCGATTACCATCCCACCACTTCTGCTCATCAGCGCGCCGTCCTGCCCGACTCGACCACTCATCAGCGCGCCATCCCGCCCTCCACTCCCTCGCGGGACCCTCCGCCCTCCACGCGCCGCTTCCGCTGGCGCCAGAGGACCCAGCCGCAACTGCGGCATAAGAAGGGGTCGGAACACGACCTAGAGGCTCAAACCCCCAAACCGGGTGGTGAGATACCAGCGGCGGCTCAGCGCCCTTTCCCGCAACTGCGGTGTCGGAGTCGCCTCCGTTGTTGCTGCCCTTCTGGCCGCCCTTGCAAGCGCCTTTCTCTTGCTTCCGCGTCTTTTCCTGCTCATTCCTCTCAGCAAGCTCCTCTGGTGATCTGCGACCCGCGTTGCGGGTGAAACCCACCAGGGGGAAGTGCGCTCCGTTTCGCGCCTTGCCGACGGAGCCGTTCCAGATCGCGTCGCCCAGCTTGCCCTGCCCGACTCGGAAGGGGTTGGGCACCCACTCGCCCCGTGCACGGCGCGCCATCTTTTGTTCGAAATCCGCAACTGCGGCCTCGGAGGCGTTGGATGGCATCACGAAGTCGCGAAGCTTGTCTGCGACGGCCCCAGCCTTCGGCAGGTAGGTCTGCAGCATCTTCCCAGGGCCATTCGCGCAATCGAAGGCGTGGAAAGAGGCGCCAGGGGAGCTTGTTAAGAAACCGGCAGGGCCGTCGTGCAGGGCGCCCAGGCCATGCCGAAGCTCGTATCTCCCAGGGCAACTGATGAACATACTTGTCATACTGTCTGCCCTGGGCTGGCCGCCTGCTGTCTCCCAGGGGGCCCGCGCAGCGACGTCCGCCGTGACTCCGCGACCGCGGCACCAGGACACGAGCTGGAACATGCACATGTTGAAGTCCCCCATGCAGACTTTGACGTCCCACTTCGCGACGTACTCGGCGAACCACTCGTAGAATTCCTGGAGTTTCTTCGGGCCCCAGTCTTGGTTGGCCAAATTGTGGTGGACGCGCACCGCCACGACGTTGAAGGGTTTCCCCAAACGGGGCAACGCTTCGTCCAGGGTGATGCGCGCAACCATCGCCCTCGAGTGCTTGTTGTGCCATTTTGGCGCAGCCACCTCCGCAACTGCGGATTTATTCTTCTTCGGCTTCGACTTCTCCTTCTTGTGGAAGAGCCTCGCGAAGTCCACGTGATCAATTTGGCCGCCACTGCGGTCTCTGAGGCCGATGAGGAGGGTCCCCGAAGGCTCCCCGCCCTTGACGCACAAGAAGTTGCATCGGGGTCGATTCATGAACTTCTCGTCCGCAACTGCGGCTGTGCTCTCGCGTGCGTCGCCCTCTCCAGAGATTGCCCTGCAGCAGTCGTCGTCGCACTCGCAAAGGGCGATAATTTGGGCAGGATTGGCGTGGATCTGCGCGAACTCGTCCCTGCGTTGTGCGGGCTTTCCAGCGCTCTGTCCGAAGTTGGCCACGTAGAAGCCGATGCGCCCCGCTTCGCCGTGCGTGTTCTTCTGCCAAGCCTCGTGAACATATCTCCTTCTCAGACACACGACTCGTCTCGATGACATGCGCCCGCCTCCAGGCCCGCGTCTTCGATGGCACTTTCGGCATGTAGGGCTCGCTGGTTGCCGCAACTGCGGCTTCCGAATCTCCTCGTGGCTCCGCCTCGTCAGCGGAGGCAGCCGAGAACGCGACGGTACGGTCGCCATCTTGCGTCCTTTGGTCGTCGCCATCTTCCGCAACTGCGGTTTCCTCGTCAGCTGCCGCAACTGCGGCTTCGCTTTCCTCCACGTGGATGTGCGCAGCGTTAGCGAAGCAAGCTCCGCGCGGCACCGCCTGCAACGCCAATCCAAGGACGCGCAGGCGGCCACATGGTCGCCGCGGGCGGCTGCGCGGGCGCCGCGTCGAGCCCCGGTGGCTACCGACGCGCCCAAAAGGAGAGTGGGAGTAGATGGCAGGAGATGGGAGGAGAGAAGGACACGTTGGAGTCAGATGACACGAGGAGACAAGGGGAGCGGGGGAGTGGCAGGAGGAGGGCGAGGAAACAATTTTGTCGCATCACCACACACATTGAAACGCACTTGGGGCCACCCGTCCGCAGGGCGCGCAGCGACAAGACCTGTCGAGAGTCCGCAACTGCGGTTTTTGCATTCATTTTGACTCATGATGGTTTTCCCACAGGTCCGCAACTGCGGCTTGTAGGAGCTACAGCGGGAATCACCAAAGCCATTTGCCCGCCCAGGGTCCTCGCAGCCTCCGAGTGCACGAACTGCGACAGCGCCGAGCGATTCCCAGACGCCGCGTCGTTGGCGACTCGCTGCAGCCACCAGTTCGTTTTGAACCAACCCCACCCCCCCCTCTGTTCATCCGAGAGGACGCCCTTTCCGCGAGCCAAGCGGTCCAAAGCAGCCATCCTGTTTTTTCTTGACCTTAAACTCCTCTGGGTTCCACTGGGCCAGGGCGTGCTTGTTAGCCAGGGCCGCCTCCACCGCAACTGCGGCCTCCTTCTTCTCCCTCAGAACAACTTCGGCCTCCCGAATCTGTTTTTTTGATGTC